TTTGGATTGTAGGAGGAAACCCATACAGACACAGGGAGAACGTGCAAACTCAACACACAGTCACCCAAGGCTGGAATTGAATCTCAATCCCTGACGCTGAGAGGCAGCAGTGCTAACCAGTGAGCCACCATGCCACCCACATCTGCCCAAATTTTCGACCACTTGCATGACTTGTCTATATTGCATTGCAGACTGTCCTTGCAACTTCCTATTATTAAAACTGTAGCTACTTCAATTACAATTACATTGGGATAAGGGAAGAATTTTCTGCATCGGTGAACAGGTTGTACTATTGTGGAGTTCAAAACTTGCTTATACCGTAAACCCACATTTCTGGCAAGTCCTTGAACAAATCTTCAGTTCACTTGAAGGTGATCTTAACCTAACAATGATGGGTTGATCTGCACATTTGCCACATCTTTTACAGAAGATAAGATCCTCCTCAGGTACACCTTTTGGTAATATGCAGTGGAGAATGGAGGGCATTGCTTCTCTTGGATTCAGGCTTGTTGTAGCTTTGGCCAGTAGAAAATGAGATCTGCCTGGTTGAGTTGTGCTCAGAATCTGCACTGGATGACCTCCAAAGACTTGAGTGGGCTCCACTTGAACCTGTTGCTGTCTTGATTCTTCGGTCAACACAGGCATCATCTTTACCGTTCCACAGGAATCCAAGAGCAGAAGTCGGCAAAAACATTTAATTCAGTTTTGGACTGCCAGCTGGGTATTCCTGGTGTTCAGGTCCCGGGCATTTCATGATAGTGACTTGGATTTTGCCATTTTTCTGGCTCATTTGTAGTAGTGTCATAGGCTGTCAAATTGTATGTTTATTGTGTCCCTTAATTTTATTGTGGAACCTTTTTTAAACCTTATCTAAAACGTGTAATAATTGAATCCAACCCTATGTTGTTACTCAGCTTTGCATGTTTCTTTGCTAAACAAAGAAAAAATTCCTGTATATGTTCTGGACACCAATCTCTGATTAGACAGGATTAGATTTGAGAACACAGGAGGCATGGTTAGTCAGTTTGCTGATGACCCCAAAATCAGTGGTATAGTGGACAGTGAGGGTGAGGAATGGCAACTGGAGTTTGATTCAGGTAAATGTGAGGTGTTGCATTTTTTGGTGAGACAAACTAGGGCAGGACTTGCACATTAATGATAGGGCCCTGAGGAGTGGTGTTGAACAGAGACCTAGGAGTGCAGGTGTATTGTAAGTGGCATCATAGGTAGACAAGGTGGTGAAGGAGACATTTGGCATGCTTGCCTTCAGTCAGAGCATGGAGTGCAGGAGTCGGGATATCATGTTACAAAATCCAAAAGGATTCTACAAATATGTTAAAGACAAAGGGGTAAATAGGGAAAGAATAGGACCCTTTAAAGATCAGCAAGGCTGCCTATGTATGAAACCATTGGAGATGGGGAGATACTAAGTGAGTATTTTCCCACAGTAAACACTGATGAGAGGGATATGAAAGATGGAGAATGTGGGGAAGTAAATAGTGACATCTTAAAATCTTCTTATTAGAGCAGAAGAGGTGCTGGATGCCTTAAGATGCATAAAGGTGGATAATTCTGTGGGAAGCTAGGAAAGTGATTGCTGGGCCCCTTGCTGAGATATTTGTATCATTGATAGCCACAGATGAGGTGCCGGAAGATTGGAGGTTGTCTAATGTGGTGCCATTATTTAAGAACGGTGGTAAGGAAAAACCAGGGAGCTATAGACTGGTGAGTCTGATATCAGTGGTGGGCAAAAACAAAGTTGCTGGAAAAGCTCAGCAGGTCTGGCAGCATCTGTGAAGGGTAAAACAGAGAGTTAACATTTCAGGTCCGGTGACCCTTCCTCAGAACAGTTCTGTTTTACCCTTCACAGATGCTGCCAGACCTGCTGAACTTTTCCAGCAACTTCATTTTTGTTCCTGATTTACAGCATCTGCAGTTCTTTCGGTTTTTATCAGTGGTGGGCAAGTTGTTGGAGGGAATCCTGAGGGGCAGGATTTACATGTATTTGGAAAGGCAGGGCCTGATTAGGGATAGTCATCATGGCTTTGTGCATGGGAAATCCTATTTCACTAACTTGTTTGAGTTTTTTGAAGAAACGAAGAGGATTGATGAGGGCAGAGTGGTGGATGTGATCTATATGAACTTTGACAGGGTTCGATGAGGTTCCTCATGGCAGACTGGTTAGCAAGGATAGATCACATGGAAAACAGGGAGAACTGGCCATTTGGATACAGAACTGGCTCAGAGGTAGAAGTCAGAGGATGGTGGTTGAGTGTTGCTTTTCAGACTGGAGGCCCGTGACCAACAGTGTGCCACAAGTACTGGTGCTGGATCTACTGCTTTTTGTTGTTTATATAAATGATTTGGTTTGTAAGTTTGCAGATGACCCCAAAATTGGAGGTGTAGTGGACAGCGAAGAAAGTTACTTCAGAGTACAATGGGATCTTAATCAGATGGACAAATGGACAGAGGAGTGGCTGATGGAGGTTAATTTAGATAATTGTGAGGTGCTGCATTTTTGGAAAGGCAAATCAGGGCAGGACTTGTACACTTAATGGTAAGATCCTGGGATGTGCCGCTGAACAACGAGACCTTGGCGTGCAGGTTCCTAGTTCCTTGAAAGTGGAGTCCCAGGTAGATAGGATAGTGAAGAAGGCATTTAGTATACTTGCTGTTACTGATTAGTGCATCGAGAGTAGGAGTTGAGAGGTTGTGTTGTGGCTGTACAGGGCATTGGTTAGGCCACTTTTGGAATACTGTGTTTAGTTCTGGTCACCCTGCTATTAGGAAAGATGTTGCTAAACTTGACAGGGTTCAGAAAAGATTTACAAAGATGTTCCCAGGTTTGGAGGGTTTGAGCTATAGGAAGAGGCTGAATAGGCTGGGGCTATTTTTCCTGGAGTGTCAGAGGTTGAGAAGTGACCTTTGTAGAGATTTATAAAATCATGAGGGGCATGGATAGGGTAAATAGACAAGGTCTTTTCCCAGGGGTGGGGGAGTCCAAATCTAAAGGGCATAGGTTTAAGGTGAGAGGGGAAGATTTTAAAAAGGACCTGAGGAGCAGCGTTTTCAGAGGGTGGTTGGTAGATGGAACGAGCTCCCAGAGGAACTGGTAGAGACGAGTACGATTACAACGTTTAAAAGAAACTTGGACAGGTACATGGATAGGAAAGGTTTCGAGGGTTATAGGCCAAACACAGACAAATGGGGCTATTTCAGTTTAGGAAGCCTGGTTGGCATTGACAAGTTGGGTCACCAGGGTCTGTTTCTCTGCTGTATGACTCCATGACCCTCCTTGCTCATGTATTCCCTACCTCTGGCCCATACCTGCTCTTCTGCACAAGAAATATCTACTGCTCAGAACCAGCTCTGAGAAAGGCTCACTGGGCCGGAAACGTTAACTCCGATTTCTCTCGGATGCTGTCAGACCTGCTGAGATTTTCCAGCAATTTCTGTTTTTGTTCTTTTCCTCTCTCTTGCTATCCCATTTTGATTCCAGTTTGAGTACTGTAATGTGTTTGATTTGTGCCCTTGCCCTGATCTGGTCCAGATACACACCTCAAAAATCACTTTCTTGCATTGCAATATGGTGTTTACCATCTTTTCCCATAACCTTTTCTCATCTTCAAATGTTTTCCCATGTTGCCTTTTCTGCCTTTGTGGAAAAAAAAAATTGAAGTTTTTGTTTTTTGTAGCTGCTTAGCAATGATTTAATTGATACTTTGTCACCACTCAGTCAGCCTTTGACTGTTCAAGTTCTAAAAACACTGCTCAATTCTCCTGGTCAACTTTGCATTAGAAATAGTATCTGAATGTCTCCTGACGAATATAGTTATTTAATCCTGGCATCTTCCTAATAAAGTGATGAAATATGCTTCCTGTAATGATGAACAAGTGCTAAAAGTAAAATCGCCACAGTCCTCCTGGACTGCAGGGATGCTCTCTCATTGGAGAGAGATGACTGGTGGTTTGACTTGAGAACCATCATGCTTCAGGTAAATGGAGAGGCTGAGCATGTGACAATGCTGTGGCCTTAAGACATTGTTTTGTCCTGTTTGTTATTTTTTTGAGAGATTGCAAGCCAAAGGTGACAAACAAGTCTATCAAACCACTGGAGTAAACAGCTTGGGAGGCCTTGGATTTTTGTTTAACAGCCTGAATGGGTGTGGCCAGCTCCCTCAAATCATCAGGATTTTTGGATTTTGATTTTTCAATAGCGTCGGAAGCTTCATTAAATATCTCCTGGCTGCTACTCTGTCTGAATTTTCTCTTGATGTTTATTTCCCTCCTAAAGTGGAGAATTGCATGTGAGAATCTGTCTGAATTTGCCTTTTTGCCAAAGGGTGTATTTATGGGATGTTATTATATTGGAACAATGAATTAGTAATAGTTACTGCACCTATTATTTGGTTAAATTGTATTAAGTTTGTTCTTTTTATTTGTATTTTAATTAGTGTTTAAATAAATTTGTGTTTTTTGCTTAAAGTCGAGTAGCTTGACCAGTCACATTGCAACTGGGATCCGGCACTTCAAACTTGCCTTTGAAAGAAGAAAAAGTTAGGGTCTAGGCTACCTTCTTAAAATGTTCTGAGGGGCTCTGGGCTGATTCATAACTAGGAGAGTCCTTCATGGTAACCTCAGCTGGTTTGGGGATTGAGCCTATGCTGTTGGCATCACACTGCATTGCAAACTAGCATTCCAGCTAACATCGCTGTTGACTGTGGCTTAATCTTTGTCTTCTTATCTGAATTGAAGACTATGGACAAATTCTCCAATACCCAGCCTCTCCCAAAATTTCTGAAATTGGTGCTGTCTGTTTTAAGTTTCAACGCCAGTCGACTGACAAGTTTCCAGAACAGTCAACCTAATCGGAGGGTTATGTTCAGATGTGCATGTAAAAATATGCTCAACCACTTTTAATTCTAGCAGTTTCAAAATTGTTGAATGACAGGCAGAAATTTCGATGTTTTACATTAGATCTGAATTGTTTTAATCGATAGGTGGGATGCGTAAAGACAGAGGCGAGTGACATTATGGAGGTTCACGCTCATGACTTACGACCCAAAACCAGGAGTGGATCAATGAAATGTGAAAGTGGTATGAATAAATAGTCTATTATTGTTCTTCAGTTCTCTGTCCAAAGTCAGATCATTAGTGATTATTCACGAGCCGTAGCAGAGAGTGCTGTGACTACTTTTTAACCCTTCAATTTGGTGAGTGGGTCCCTGAGTCTGTCTCAGTTGGAATGGGAATTAAATATGCTTTTGGCATTTAATTTGATTTGCATGCTAGCTACTGAACCAACTGAATTAATTGACCCCTGAAATAATCTACTCTAATATTTCTGTTCTGCTGAACATATTTCAGACTCTGTATATATAAATTGGAATTTGCCAAGAGTTGTTTAAGGTATCCCTATTTAGCAAAAGCTGTGGTTTAAGTTAATTCTGAATTGCAAGTTAGAATGTTGTACATCTTTTGTTGTAGCCAAATTACTCAAAATATCATTTTCTTACGGTCAGGGTTCAGCATTCATATTTTCTGTCCAATTATCAGATTACCTTAATTTTTGTTGTATTCTCTTGATAGAATTAATGAGATTGTTAGCTCAATTTCCATTGTGTAATTTTGTTGAATCTTTATTGTTCCTATGTTATTGCTGTGGTCATGAATGAATTTTTTAAACTTTTGTAAACTAATCATCTATTCATTGTGGGGTTGAGTATGGTGACTTGGAGGTCTGGAATATGATATAGAAAGGCATACGGACGCCAAGGAGCAGTCAGAACAGCAATATGAGAATTTTAAGATTGACTTGTTGCAGGAACTGGAGCTGATGTAAAATCAGCAAACATGGAGGATGGGTGAATGAATTCAGTTTGACCTAGGATGTGGTGGAAGGCTGTCTCAGAGGACATTAGAATAACAGTAGTTGCAATGGATGAAGATTTTAGAAGACGAGCTGAGGTGGAAGTAGAGAGCAATGTTCAAAAACAAAGTTGCTGGAAAAGCTCAGCAGGTCTGGCAGCATCTATGAAGGAAAAAAACAGTTAACATTTCGGGTCCGGTGACCCTTCCTCCTAACTGGTGGTGGCTGGGAAAACGTCAGTTTATAAGCAGAAAATAGGGAGGTGGGTGTGGTACGGAGTAAATGATAGGATAGAGCCCAAAGAGAGCGAGAGACCGTTGGACAGGCAAAGGAGTTGCTAACGATCAGGCTGGGAGGGTGAATAGTTGTTAATGGGCACTACTGGTGACTAACAACAGGTAGTATAATGGCAAGCTATGTGATAATGGGGCCAGGTGTATGGGGTAGGGAGCTAGGACATGGAAGAGTTTAGGCCCTAAAATTATCGAACTCAATATTGAGTCCGGAGGACTGCAGGGTCCCCAAGAGGAGAATGAGGTGTTGTTCTTCCAGTTTGTGCTGAGCTTTGCTGGAACACTGCAGCAAGCCAGAGACAGAGATGCTGGCCAGGGAACAGGGTGGTGTGTTCAAGTGGCACGATTCCCCAGCACCCTTGTCGACAGGGCTGTCAATTAGGTCCGACCCATCTCCTGCACTTCTGTCCTCATCCCCTCTCTTCCCTCCTGCAACAGTGATAGAGTTCCCCTTGTCCTTATCTACTGTCCCACCAGCATCCACATCCAGAAGATCATCAGACGCCATTTTCGCCACCTCCAGCGAGATGCCACCACCAGACCCACATTCCCCTCCCTTCTCTACCCTTCCCTTGTCCGCCTTCTGCGGGGATTGTTCCCTCCGGGACACCCTAGTCCGCACATCCTTCACTACCAACACCCCCCACCCACAGCTCTACCGCACCTTCCTCTGTAACCATCCAAGGTGCAACACCTGCCCATTTATCTCCCTCCCCAGTATCCAAGGGCCCAAACATACCTTCCAGGTGAAATAACACTTCACCTGCACTTCCGAGAATCTAGTCTACTGCATTCGCTGCTCACAACGTGGTCTCCTCTATATTGGGGAAACGCAGCGTAGGCTGGGTGATCACTTCGCAGAACATCTACGTTCTGCTCGCAAAAAAGACCCTGAACTACCTGTTGGCCTGCCACTTTAATGCACCATCCTGTCCCCTGGCCAACATCTGTCTCTGCCCCGCTTCAGCGAAGCTGAACACAAGCTGGAAGAACAACACCTAATTTTCCGCTTGGGGACCCTGCAGCCCTCCGGACTCAACATCGAGTTTAATAATTTTGGGGCCTACTTTCTGCATTATAAACTGACGTTTTCCTAGCCACCATCAGTTCTGATGAAGGGTCCCTGGACCCAAAATGTTAACCAGAGAAATGTTGTGGAGGCCTTTATTGATTGGGTCAATACAAGTGTGCAGCTGGAGGAACACAGCAGGTCAGGCAGCATCAGAGGAGCAGGAAAGTCGACGTTTTGGGTTTACACCCTTCTTCAGGACTAGGAAGGGGCAAAGGAGCTCACAAATAAAAGTTGGGGGGGGTGGGTAGTGGGGCTGGGGGAATGTAGGTGGGATGGTGATACCTGGATGCAGGTGTTTGGAGTGGTTGTGGAAGTCAGAAACTGAGCCTGATGTACCATTTTTGGTCCAGCTTCAGTTTGGCTGTAGCCCATTTTGAATTCTGAGAGGGAGCTAAGTGGGGCAGTAAAGTAGGATGCTTTTTTAATTCCTAAGGATAGAGGTCAAATTCAGTGCAACTAATGGAATGAAATCTGTTTAAGAAGGCTTCATCTGTTCGGCCTCATTCAGTTAGAACAAAGAACAATACAGCACATGAACAGACCCTTTGGCCCTCCAAACCTGTGCCAACACATTTTGCCCTTCTATACTAAAACTTACAGGATCCGTTTACCCCATTCCCTTCCTATTCATATATTTGTCCAGATACTGCTTGAATGCTGCTATTGTGTCTGTTTCCACCACCACCTCTTGCAGCATGTTCCAGGCACTCACCACCCTTTGTGTGAAAAATGTACCTTGCACATCTTTTTAAACTTCCTCGTCTACGCCTTGAACCTGTGTCCCCTAGTAATTGATCCCTCCACCCTGTGAAAAAGCCTCCTATTTTCCACTCTGTAAGATTATGAATGGCGTAGATAAACTTCTATCAGGTCATCCCTCAAGCTCCTGAATTCCACTGAAAATGAACACAGTCTATCAAACCTAGTTAAAATCCCCCATACCAGGCAACATCTTGGTAAACCTTTTTCTGTACCCTCTGCAAAGCATCCACATCCTTCTGGTGGTGTGGTGACCAGAACTGCACGTAGTATTCCAAGTGTGGCCTAACTGAAGTTCTGTAAAGCTGCAGCACAACTTGCCTATCCTTCTACTCCATGCCCCTCCCAATGAAGGCAAGCATGCCATAGGCCTTTTTTTTACAACCTTTTCTACCTGCGCTGTTCACCTTTAGTGATATAGGGACCTACACACCCAGATCTCTCTCTGCATATCAATATTCCTAAGGGTCCTGCTATTCACTATAATTTCCACCTGTACCTGACCTTCCGAAATTAACCACCTCACATTTGTCCTGATTAAAATCCATCTGCTATTTTTTTGGCCATGTCGTCAACTGTCTATACCTGCTGTATCTTCTGACAATCCTCCTCACTATCCGCAACTCCACCAATCTTTGTATCATCTGCAAACTTACTAATTACACCAGCCACATTTCCCTCCAAATCATTTATGTCAACCACAAGCAGCACAGGTCCCAGCACTGATCCCTGTGGAACGTCACTAGTCACAACCCTCCGTTCCAAAAACCATCCTTCCACGGCAACTTTTGTCTCCTATGACTAAGCTAGTTCTGTATCCAGCTTGCCAGCTCACCCCTAATACCATGTGACTTCATCTTTTTCTACCAGTCTGCCATGAGTGACCTTGTCAAAGGCTTTACTGAAGTCCATGTAGACAACATCAACTGCATTTCCCTCATCAGTCATCTTCGTCACCATCTCAAAAAAACTCGATCAAGTTAGAGAGATACAAAACCATGCAGTCTATTGCTAATAAATCCAGTTGCTTCTAAATCTGTATAGATCTTGTCCCTGGGAATCTCTTCCGATGATTTCCATTCCACTGATGTGAGGCTTGCAGGCCTTTTTTTCCTGGATTATTCCTGCTACCCTTAGCCAATGGGACAACATTGTCTACTGTCTAGTCCTCTGGGACCTCACCTGTGGCCAAAGATATTACAGAGATGTCTGTCAATGCTCCAGCAATTTGTTATCTTGCCTCCCTCAATATTCTGGGATAGATCCCATCAGGACCCGGGGACTTGCCTACCTTAATATTTTTTTAAGATGCACAACACCTTTTCCATTTTACTAGCAACTTGGCTTAGAAATGTGACGCTCCCTTCCCTGAGATCATCCTTCACCAATTCCTTGTTGGTTTTTTTTTTTTGGTGAATACTGACGCAGAATTCGTTTAGGACCAGCTAGTAAAAATCTGTCCATATTCAGAGCAAATTTGACCATAAACCTGAAATAATCAATTTTAAAAAAATATGATATAAAATTTGGGCTATGAGACAGAAAATGAATGGCATACTTGGGTGATCATTTGATATGAGAATGAGATACATCACAGGACAGTAGAATTTGGTACTCTAATGTACACCCTGATCTGGAAGTTCACTGATTATTCAAAATAACAAGTATTCCATTTCCCTTCATATAGCAATACAACAAAGAATTTGTTCAGGTTTCCGTTAGTCCTGAATGAGGTATCTTTTTATTAAAATCCAGAGAAGTACAATATGCATGGAATGAAGAAAGAGGGAAGTGAGAATCGTCCTACTGATTCAGAGCGAGCCAGGCCACTCAGAAACAACAGGAATATGACCACCTCAAATATTGTAAGTATAATCAAGCTATTTTTGTGTAATGCATTGTAATATTCTTGGTACAGATTTACTGCCTTTTTCACTTAATAATTTGCCTAATAAAATGTTTAATGCTTGCGTAGTACGAAGGACTGGTGGACCTCTTTGTATTTGTTACAGTCAGCTAGACCTAGTTTTTAGTGAAAAATGTCTTTCATTCCAAAACAAATAGGTACTATTCTGAGAGTACCTGAGCCCTCCCTCCTTAAGAAAGAAAGCTAGTTTCCGTATGTAGATTGAGGGAATCCTGAGCACAGAAATGAGGAAGGCAAATTATGTCTCCTTTTCACAGCAATCCGCTGCTGTACCTTGAAATTTAAAGGTCTGATGGCTACTGACAGGTAAGTATACAAGTGTGATGTTAGAGTGCTGGAAGGGTAGAGCATGCAGATAAGCGATAGAATCGGGTCTGGCTGGGGGTAGAGGTTATTTGGGTCGGGTCTGAAGGGGGAGGTGTGGTTAAGTGGGGTCAGCTCCAGAGGAGAGGAGAGGAAGTAGGGTTGGGAGTGCAAGGTAAATGTGGGATCAGTGAATAGTTACTTATGCTGAAAGACTTGTGTTAAAAAGAGGGGTTAATTTCATCTGATACTGGTAGGAAGGAGTTGTGCTGCGGGGATGGGCTGAGTCTGAAATGGGCTGAAATCCAAAGTCTTGGGGCAAGAATGCATATTCATTCATTCACTTGATTTGGGAATCACTGGAATGTGTGTTTTTAATTGTCCTTGATGGTGGTAATAAATCACTGAAGGTTTGTGTTGTGTTGGCAAGATTTAAAAGGGACTTCAAGGGCAACTTTTTCATGCAGAGGATGGTGCATGTATGGACCGAGCTGCCAGAGAAGGTGGTGGAGGCTGGTACAATTACAACATTTAAAAGGCATCTGGATGGGTACACGAATAGGAAGGGTTTACAGGGATATGGGCCAAATATTGGTAACTGGGACTTGATCAGTTTAGCATATCTGGTCACCATGGATGAGTTAGACCAAAGGGTCTGTTTCCGTGCTGTGTAACTCTATGACACTAAGAGTGGCTTTGCAGCAGTACTACAAATTGAACTAATCTAGTCCTAAAGGACAATGCTGCTGGACTGGATTTGCAGCTGGTGGTGAGGAAACTGACAAGAAGGCAAAACACGACCTCATCTTCCCAAGTCTGCCTGTAGCAGATGCATCTGTCCATGACATTATTGGTAAGAGTGACCATCACACAGTCCTTGCAATAGGAGGCAAAGTCCTTCCTTTGCATTGATAAAACCTTACATTTTGTTTGGCATAATCACTTCAAATAATTCAAGACTGAGCATCCATGAGGTGCAATGAACTTTTAGAAGCAGCAGAATCCGACTTGAACACAATCTGCAACCTCATAGTTTGGCATAGCCCCCACTTTGTAGTGACCATGAAACCAAAAGATCAACCCAGGTTCAATGAAGAGTGCAGGAGGCCACGCTAGGCGCAGCATGAGGTATTGACTGGCGAAGCTAAAAACAGGACTACTTGCATGCCAAATAGCATAAGTATCAAGTAGTAGACACAGTGAACCCATACCACACCAACGGATCAGATTAAAGTTCTGCAGTCTTGCCACATCCAATCATAAATATCCTAGAGGATACCATTGACCAGAAATTGAACTAGATTAGCCATATGATACAGTGGCTACAAGAGGAAGTGAGCGACTAGGAATACTGCATTGAGTAACACACATTCTGTCTTCCCAAAGCCTGTCCACCATCCAGAAGGCACGAGCCAGGAGTGTGACAGAGTGCAGTTCCAACAACACTGAAGAAGTTTAACACCAACCAGGATAACACTTGATTGAGACCTCTGTTGCTCTGTGTCTCTGTTGTCTTGTGCGCGTGCTTTCGATGTCGCTCTCCCCTCCGCCCCTGCTCAGTAGCAGCACTGAGTACCATTTACAAGATGCACTGCAGACATTCACCGTGAAATTTTTCTTTCAAGCCCAGAAACACTGCCATCTAGAAGGAACGGGAATGGCAGCAGTTACATGGGAACATTGCCATCTATAAGTTTTTCTCCAAGCCACTCACCACCCTGACTTTGAAGGAATGGTGATGTATATTTTTGTGTCATTCCGTCAAAATTCTGGAACATCCTTGTTAATGACATTATGGGTCTTCCTGCAGCATATGGACTGTGCTTCAAGAGGGCAACTCACCACCACCATATCAAGCAACTAGAGATGGGCAATAAATGCTGGCCTAGCTAGTGATGCCCACACCCCGTGAGCAAACTAAAACGAATAGTTAGGCAGGGAATTTCAGGGTGTTGGCCCAGTAACTGTGAAGGAACAGTGACTTAATTCCCATGCATGTATAGCTCTTATTTTACTCGGTAACAGATCACCGGTTTGGAAGGAACCTCGGTGAATGAATCGATGCATGTTGTAGATGGTGTACACCACTGTTGCTATATGCTGATGCTGGAGAGACTTGGTGAATGTTTAATCTGTTGAATGGGTGCCGATCAAGTAGGATGCCTTGCGCTAGATAATTAACTTCTCTAGCTTTCCTGGAGCTGTGCTCATTAAGACAGGTCGAGGGGTGTTCGATGACACTGCTGGCTTGTACCTTGAAAATGATGGTCAGGCTTTGAGGAGTTGGGCGCGGTGTTATTGGTTGCTGAAATCAAGGCCTCTGACTCACTGTTGGAGCCACAGTATTAATGGGGCTGTCTGGTTCAGTTTGTGATCAAGAGAAACCTATAGGCTCTGATATGGATTCAATATTTTCATGACAGCATTGACATTGAATATTAAGGGAATTGATTAGATTCTCCAGCTGGCAATGCTTATTGTTTGGCATTTTGTGTGACATGTATGTTTGGCATTTGCCCAGCCTGAATGTGGGCCATGTCATTATCTGAGGAATTATGAATGATACAGAACACTGCAATAATCAGCAAATATCTTTCTTCTGACCTTTTTATGATGGAGGGAAAGACTTCGAAGCAACTGTGAGGATAGTTGGCTTGGACACAACCCTCAGGAATTGCTGAGACAATATCCTGGGATTGAGATGATTGGTCTCCAACAAAAAAGATATTGTAGAGTTAATGTTTCAAGTCTAGTGACCCATCTTCAGAACTGTGCTGAAGAAGGGTCATTAGACTCCGCATTCATTCTGCTTCTTGCCACAGATGCTGCCAGACCTCCTGAGTTCTTCCAGCAATTTGTTTTCTTCCTCATTTCTAGCATCCACAGTTCTTTGTGTTAAGAAATATCTTGCTTTGTGCTAATTATGTAGTTTTGTCTTGATTCACATTGACTTCAGTTTTACTAAAGTTCCTTGATGCTCCATCAAATGCTGTGTTGATGCTGAAGGCAGTCACTCTCGCTTTTGGAATTCAGCCCTTTAGACCCTGTTTGGGCTAGGGCAGTAATGAAGTTCGGATTGAGATCCTGGTAGAACCAAAACTGAGCTTCAGTGAACAGGTTATTGCTGAGCAAACGGTGCTTGATACCATCATCAACGATTGAGAGTAGACTGTAGCAGTAATTGACCAGGCTGAATTTATAAAGCTTTTGCATATAGAGCAAAATATTTGTGTTGTCTTGCACATGCCAGTAATGTAAATGTTCTGGTACGCCTTGGCTAGCTCTGGTGCACAAGGAAAACCATCAAGATGTTAGCGCCCATAGCCTTTCCTGTACACAGTGCCAGCAGTTGCTTTTGCGGTAAAATGGAATGATATGAATTGGCCGAGGAGTGGGCATCTATGATGTTGAGGATCTCTGGGGTAGTCAGAGATGAGATGTGATGGTAGTGACAGACTTTGACTTGATTTGTTGATGTGGGATTGGTGACCTCCTGTATATAACAGAAGGCTTCTGCTGTTTAGTTTGTTTGTAGTTGTGCATTTTAACAACCTGATAAAACTGTCCAATATTTAAGTGTGCATGGTTCTGCTGCTGTTGTGGCATGCTGGTTTTCAATCAGACATGGTCTCTTGTCTTGATGGTAATGGCATAGAGATGGATATGTTAATCCATGTCTGCCACTCCAAGGGGCCTCAGGTAGGGGCATTGGTTAACACATGGGCAAGGCAATCAGCATAGTTTGCTCATAGAGTATAAAAACATTATTCCCCTTTTACATTGGTATTCTTTCAAATTGTTGATAAGTTCAAGACAAAAAGCTTTTACAAACACTTTCCATCAATGCAACCTGTACAACCAATCAACAATTTATTATTTCTCACTGGAATGTGTTCTGAGGAAGGGTCACCGGACCTGAAACGTTAACTCTGTTTTCTCCTTCACAGATGCTACCAGACCTGCTGAGCTTTTCCAGCAACTTTTTGTTTTTGTTCCTGATCTTCAGCATCTGCAGTTCTTTCGGTTTTTAATAATTTATTAATCATTGTTTGCTCTTCAATATTCTCTCCAATCTTCGGACCCGCCAGAATTAACATTGCAGTATTACATACTATAATCTTTATTACATACTATATCTTGCAGTTTCAATGCCCCTTTAACTTCCTTAGTTAGTCACCGATGATTCATCCTTCCCTTTCTCACTGGAATGTGTTACAAACAGATAGGTTTGTTTTAAAACTCATTCTACCTTTTTCTACCATCTGCCTACAAGCAGATTTGATTTCTTTTCCTTTTTTTTAAAACAGTACCATATTTCTCCCCTTTTGTTTGTAGACCTTTCAGGTTTTAACCAAGTCAGTGTTGTAAAGCTACACCAGAAATTTTGTTTCTCACGTGGAGGTGGGGTTTGCAATTCGGACATGTTGACAAGCGTGAATCTCTGCCTCTTTTTAATTCTTCAATTAGAAATAACTTGAGCTCAAAAGTGTTCAGAGAAACCAGTTTATCAATGTCCTTTTTAAGATTGAGTTAGCAGTGTGGAATTCCTTTGTTGGGTGATTGGGTAGCATGCAGTTGAGGTGTTGCTGATATTTCTTTATTAAAATTTCTTTGAAGGTCATCCGAAGAAGTTTGCTGAAATGTAACTTTTACTTCATTGGCTGATGAATAAAGTTGATAATTTGCAGGGAGTTGAAAAGACAGGTTGTTGACTGACATTTTTCATTTGTAATCCGGACTTCGGGGTTTTGCTATCATCTGTAGATGCTACATGAAGCTGTACTGATGCCTTAGCAAATTTTTTGTTTCAAAATAGTATGATTATAAGGTAAAAACCGAAAGAACTACGGATGCTGTAAATCAGAAACAAAAACAAAGTTGCTGGAAAAGCTCAGCAGGTCTGGCAGCATCTGTGAAGGGAAAAACAGAGTTAATGTTTTGGGCCCGGTGACCCTTCCTCAGAACTGGATTAGAAGGTGGTTGTGTTCAGCACTGGGAATCATATGATAAAGTCCCTTTTGGGAAAGGGGACAGTTATTGAGACAAGGGCTTACATCGCAGATGACTAAATGTCCATGTCCCATCATAGAGGTTAAGTGGAGTGTCATTAAAACTCCCTAACAAGATAGGGTTAAGTTGCAATTCTGCTGCATAGAGATTTTCTTTGAAGACCATATTTCTCTGTGGCAGTTTATAATGTAATAGTTAGCATTCCAGAAAGAGCAGGGAACTGAGGGCAAAACATTTAACTGTCTCTCTTCCCAGACGTATTGAATTTCTCCAGCATTTTTTATTTCATATCTCCAGTATCAATAGTATTTTGCTTGATGAGTTAGTATTCCAATACCATTGGGATACATGAGGCACTGGCTAACCTCAACTTCAACTTCTGAACTTCTGGAAGGTTACAATAGAATCCAGTCACATGAATATAGCAGCCATCTTTGGACTGTTCAATGTTCTCTGAAAACAATTACTGTATGTTTTATGTTTAAAGGTATGTACCACCATAGGCTTTTAATCAGTTTGTGATGACTGCAGTTTTGATTATTCTGAATTAGCTTCTTAAACGACTGCCACTGTGTCTTGATTGACCCATCCGTTAACCTAGTTAGTTTAGCAGCTCTGTCTGCATGCCCTCATCATTACCCATTAGTTTAAGTGCTAGTGTTTATCCAAACTTCTCTCCATCAATCTGAATGTGAAATTCAATCAGTGATACTGCAACTTGAGGGTGCCTTTATTTTGAGGTCTTTTCTGATTCTTGTCTCATTGCATGATCCTAGTCCAGTACAGCCTGCTCTCTGCTTAGCTGTAGAACGTGATTGTCTAAGAAACTCTGCTGAAAACACATTTTTATTCATTCACTGGAGGTTGGTGTCATTGGCTGCATTAACATTTATTGACCATTGTAATTTCCCTTGGAAATTGCTGGTGTGAGCTGCCTTCTTGAGCCACTGCATCTATACTGTGTAGGTGCACCCACAATGCTGTTAGAAAGGGAATTCAAGATTTTTGACCCAGCAACAATGAAGAAACAAATTAGAATAGTGTTACGGGAAGCTTAGAGAAAGGTGGCAGTGTTCCTGTGCATGTGCTGCCTATGTCTTTGTGGGTTGTAGAGATTGTGGGTTTGTAAGATATTGTGTAGGGAGCCATGGTGAATTGCATCTTGTAGATGGTGTACCAATTGCTGTATGATGTTGGTGGGAGTGAATGTTTGTGGTTGTGCTGCCAGTCACTGGGGGCTACTTTGTTCTAGATAGTGTCAAGCTTTTTGAATGTTGTTGGATCTGCATCCATCCCAGTATGTGGAGCATTTCACCACACACCTGACTTACCTTTTGTAGGTGGAGGACAGTCTTTGGGTAGATAGGTGAGTTACTCACTGCAGGATTCCTGGCCTCTGACCTGCTTTTATACTTTGTATCTGTGACTGATCCAGTTCAGTTTCTGGTCACTCCTGGGATGATAGTGGGAGAGTCAACAGTGAAAATACTATTGAATGTTAAGGAGCAATGTTTAGATGCATGTGGTTCCTTTGTTTTTAGGTGGCTGAGATAGCTAGTATGCAAACTGCAGTTAGAGGAGCTTCTGTGAATTTTGCATGGCATCTCGTAGATAGTACACATTGCTGCAACACTGTGTAATGTAGAAGGAATGGATGTTGAAAATGTTAGTTGGGGTGCCAGTCAGGTCAGTAGCTTTATCTTGCATGGTGTCAAGCAATGACTGTCATACCTTTTTATTGCACAGGCCCCAATTATTTTTTCTGTTTTATTCCATTCTCCAGTGCGGTTGCTGTTAGGAGGCCTGTAAACCACAACCACAAGTAATTTCTTCACTATTTCTCAGCCCTACTCAAAATGAACGACTGCACATTCTGAGACCTTGAACTAGAATGACCTACTGTGATGTATCAGTGCTATTCTTAGTTAACATGGCTACCCTTCCACTTTCCTAGCTTCTTGTCCTTCATGCATCTTTTGAATATTCAGGTTTCAGTTCTATTGTCTTGTCATGTCTACAAAACTTTTATAACAAGACAAAAATTCCTTTGTTAAAGTACATTTACAGCCTTGTATGAATATGAGTGTAACAAATGAATATGAGCTGTAACAAACTGCAGTAATATTGAATGTAACTTGTCCAGTATTACCATAAGCTGGGGAAACTATGAAACCCATTCGAAAAATGAGTCACCCCAAGAATTCAATACGTAGGGGGAAAGGAAAATCTTTCGCTAACCACCTGAAAGACTGCTGATTCATAAGCTCTTCTAAAAAACAAAATGTTTACATGTCCTATTGCTAAGATGTGGTTCTGGACCTCTTGATTCACAGTCAAGCATTCATAATGGACCCAGCTATAATCTCAAACTTTGAGCAATGTATACAATGGAGTCTTACTGAAATTGCAGAAGCAAGTCACTAATGGTTTTTGCCAAGGTGCATGAGATAATGTATCAATCAATGGACTCCAACAAATGTGTTTTTTAACTCAAGTGAACTTTGCAGGCTTTTTTCAATTTTCAAGGCTTGAGGATTTCATTCACTTCAGATCATGAATCTTGAACAGCTTAAAGCTACCCTTCAGAAGCCTTTATGCATTTTCCACAAAATTTTGGTTCTCACACTGGAGTAAATTATGATTAGTATTTATGATATATTAACTCTGAGCGCTTGGATTTTGGGGATAAAGTAAAGCCCGTGAAAGAGTGAAGCTGGGTCCTGTTTGATCTCGGCACAACTTCAAATGGTTCAGTAGATTTTTGTTTTATTCCCTTAGAATCCATGCATTGTCACCTTCCTCTGGTAGTAATGGGATCTCCTGTCACTGAGTGCTCTTGCATTTTTTTTTTTGGGAGCCTGCCTGCCCTTATTTGAAATGAAGGTCTGTGTAGACTTTGGTAAAACTCAGCTGTAAGAGTGCAAAGCTATCAGGGAAGACTGATTCAGAGAGAAGAACGAAGACTGAGAGATGATTGAATAAATTATATGCAGTTTCAAACATAGGCACCGTAAAATGTTTTAATAAGTGGGGAGTGCAAAATAAGGGCACTCCCTTGGCCATGAACAATAGTCTTAAAATGGTCATGAACAAATACAACAGGAAGTTCTGAAAAATCTCATTCTCTGAGGAGGAATTTGTTGTCACACATGGATCTGAGCATTCCACACAATTTCCAAGAAAGCTGGATTAATATGTGAGGGTGGAATGAAAAGAAAACTCTTTACTTCATCGAATCCTAAATCAAGATAGTGGAGGGAGGCTGTGATGCAGACTGTATTACGTTTGTTCCTTTTGTAGGTGGACCTGTATGTTTGCCTGATCTGTGGACAAGGCAATGAAGAGGATCGACTTCTGCTCTGTGATGGCTGTGATGACAGTTACCACACCTTCTGCTTAATTCCACCCCTACAAGATGTTCCTAAAGGTGATTGGAGGTGTCCAAAGTGTCTTGCTCAGGTTGGTAACTGGACTTGTGCTCTCTGCATCAGAATTATACAGCAGAATGAATGCTGTTCACTCCTTTTGTATTCAGTGTTTCAATCCTCAATGTCACAACACAATTGAATAAGAACAAACAACTTAAATTGAAGCTTTGAAGCACGAGAGTTTTTTTTATTCTAGGGATGTGGGTGTTACTCATTTATTCTTATTACTCATCTCACATTGCCCAGAGCGTCATTAAGAGTCAATTAGATTGCTACAGTTCTGGATTCATGTGTAGGCCAGAGCAGCTAAGGATGTCCCAGATTTTGTTCCCTGTAGGACTTGAGAACCGGGTGGGATTTTACAACAATGGTTATACAATCACCAGTCTTAACTTTTTAAATTCATGTTTTTTTTATTCAATTAAAATGTAACCTCCTGCGATGGTTGGGTTCTCCTTGTCATTAGCCTGGGATTATGGATTACTTGCCTATTGACATTTATCGCTATGCCATGCCTCCCCATAAAAAACAGAATTCGATGGGAGTTTAATAGGTTGGATGTTGAGAGGATGTTACCATTTGTGAGGGAAAATGGAACTGGGTAACAGTTTAAAAACAAGAGATCTTCCATTTTAAGAAACATGAGCAGAAATTTCTTGCCTCAAGAAGGTGAGATCAAACCATTCTGTCCCGCATGCTTTGTCCACTATTCAACTAGATCATGGCTGTTCTAATTGTGGTCCTAACGGGACTTTTTTGCTTGTTAACTCTTGTGACTGTTTGTTTGTGAATTAGAAATTGTCTAGTTTGAACATATTCAATGGCCACACTCCCACTATGCACCACCAATTGAAAGTACTAACATTTTGTTTCTGAGAAGAAGCTGTCCTTTCTCTGTCTTAAATGGGAGACCCCTTGTTTTTAAATATTTCCACTCTATTCACTCAAGGAAAGATTCACTGGAAATGAATGATTTTGTAGATTGGCAAAATGTAGGGTAACAATTGCACACATTTGTCAACGTGAGATGCTTGATTCTCTCCATTTCTCACCATCACATTTTATCTTCGAAATATTGCCTGATCTGTCTCATTATTTTTGCCCCTTCTCCCACCACTGCAGAAAGGTCCATTTATACCTTTGCCACCTCCTGATGTGACTTTTTTTCAAGTGCTTTTTTAACCAGCCTCCAAAGTTCCACTTTTAAATGCTATACCTATCTCCCAGGGTAGGTGACTAGCTCTTTAAGTGTTTCCGGTCAATATAGACTGCTTAAAGCAAGATACATGACATTGGTTTTGGACACTATTTATCAAGGTCAAAGTGCACTCACTCATGAGCTATTATTTTATGGCTAAAAAAATCAAATGGAAAACCAGGAAAGATGGAGATCTGGAAAGCAGTTTACATCTGAAATGTATTAATTCCTGACAACTGCTTTGGAAAACTAACCATAACAAAAGGCCAAAAGGTTGTAGGTAGAAAAGGAATATATGTCCACCTCCAGCCTCCATGTTCATGCTATTGGAATCAATTTACAAACTGTCAAACCTATTACTTTGAGAAAGTAGTTTGGTGTATCTGAACTATTGATCTTAAGCTTGTTTGTTTCTCCCCTCCTTATTTTGTTTGTTCCTGTAAAGAACTGACTGATTTGACCCAACTGCCATTTCTGACCAAGGGAATCGCCTTGAAGCATTATCTTGTGTTTACATAATTGAGTTATGCAATTTCAAAAATTTTTGTGAAATTGCAAGAGTTTATCTATCATCACAGTTAGTGGCAGGGGAGTGCCACTTTGACTTCACAGCATGCTGGAAACTTTGTTTTTGTTCTAGGAGTGTAGCAAGCCTCAAGAAGCTTTTGGTTTTGAACAAGCTCCTAGGGACTACACACTTCGTGCATTTGGAGAAATGGCAGATGCCTTTAAATCAGACTACTTCAATATGCCAGTTCATGTGAGTATGCTTCAGATTTATAAAGGATGTTCTCACAGTTGGTTGTCAAATCCATTCTGAGTGTAACTTTATTTACTTTCAGTTCGAATAATCAAAAAGTTATATATTTTTTTAAGTGGGCATCTTATGGTCCACTACTCAAGTTTAACACTTCTTTATGTTATTGTAAATAAAGCTGGCTCTGAATTTAGGCAGAGATAGTAAGATCTGCCAATTGTTGGAGTCAGAGATAATACGGTGTGGAGCTGGAGGAACACAGCAGGCCGGGCAGCATCAGAGGAGTAGGAAAGTTGACGTTTCGGGTCGGGACCTGAGATGCCAACTTTCCTACTCCTCTGATGCTACCTGGCCTGCTGAATTTAGGCAGCTTTATTTTGAGCTTGATATTAAGCTAAGATTTACTGAATCTGATTTCTTGGTACCATGAGCAGAGTTGTTCATTGTTCTGACCAATATTTATCTATTTGGCAGATTGTTCCTTTCACAATCATCTGATCATCTATCTCTTACGTGCCTGTGTCCTCTTTGTTGTATTTCATTATAGTACAATGGTGACTGCTCTTTGAAGATAATTAGTTGGTTATCACAAGATTCTTAGTCGAAGGACATGGAAGGTGCTTTGCAAATCCAAGCTGCTGTCTTAAGCTACACTGGCCATCAGGGTCTGATCTATAGTATGTTAGCATTTTTTTTAGCCCTGAGGCTGGAGAATTTTGGGAAATGAAAGCTCTCATTTATGTACTGAGCTTTCTTGTGGTTGCAACTGAAGTGTGAGGGCTTTCCTCTGCATCTGATCTCAATTTGACTCCAGGTTGGAGCACTGCATACTTGAACAGAGCATGTTCCATTTTTCAGTCTTGGCAGTAAATGAAGTTTATTATGGAAAACTAAAGTAAACGAGAAGTTAAATTTAAGCAAACTTCTTTATATTGGTATTTTTGTGCTCAATGTACGTTTTGAGAATGAAGCAAAATTTTTTTTAAAACACAGATGGTTCCAACTGAACTGGTGGAAAAGGAATTCTGGCGCTTGGTTAGTACCATTGAAGAAGATGTTACTGTAGAATATGGAGCTGACATTGCTTCAAAAGAATTTGGTAGTGGCTTCCCCATCAAAAATGGCAAAATTAAACTGCGACCTGATGAACAGGTAAGGTTCTAGATTAAATGCGTAAGATGTTTAAGATTGATGCTGGGAACATTCTTTCTGGTTCTTAAATTGGTATGAATAATTGTTTGCTATTAATAATTGCATCATTTTTGCAGAGAATCTCCCAATATCTGGCCATTTGTAGAATCACATGAAATTATTTAAAAAGTCATGTTCAACTCAGACAGGATTCGGTCCAATCTTCAGCAGGAAATCTGAAAAATCATGTAGAAGTTCAACTCTGATGTTTCCAGTTTTGTCTTACATTTATTTCCCTTGTACAGAGTCTTTGATTAAATTATTTTGTTCGATCTATATTTAACCAGATGAACTGTGGACATCTCTAGTTGCATTATTCCCCTGTTGAATTGACTAATCTGCATTAGTAAGAAGTGCTACAATTGCTGAAGACAATCATAACTCTCAAATTGGGCAAGGTTCAGAGTTCTTATCATTTTTTTGATCCCAGCTGGTACTGACTGTTGATGGTAGTAGTACACACAAATGTGTTAAATTAGTTGAAGCTTAGTTTGACATTTTTAAAGAATTTGAGCGGCTTAGGCTGCAGTTTTGATGTGGCATATTTCAGTTCAAATGGGTATCAAAGTAGATATATCAATAATAAATCATCTAAATAATTGTATTTGGTGGGTGAGGAAGTACTGGCTAGATTTGCACTGTATTGTGTGGACATAGTAGATAGTAACGATTTTAATTTCTGCACAATGTTAGATGCAGAATGCGTGGCAGTTTTTTTTTTGTGCCAGCCCATATTACCAACTATATTACTATTCAATAATAACATGCAACAGTCAAGCCATCTGATAAACCAAAATTATCCAAATACTGGGACAACAAGGTGCAGGGCTGGATGAACACAGCAGGCCAAGCAGCATCATAGGAGCAGAGAGGCTGACGTTTCGGGCCTAGACCCTTCATCAGAAAAGGGGGAGGGGAAGGGGGTTTTGAAATAAATAGGGAGAGAGTGGGAGGCGGATAGAAGAGGGATAGAGGAGAGGATAGGTGGAGAGGAAACAAACAGGTCGAAGAGGCGGGGATGGAGCCAGGAAAGGTGAGTGTAGGTAGGGAGTTAGGAAGGGGATAGGTCAGTCCAGGGAGGACGGACAGGTCAAGGGGGCGGGATGAGGTTGGTCGGTAGGAGATGGAGGTGCGGCTTGAGGTGGGAGGAGGGGATAGGTGGGAGGAAGAACAGGTTAGGGAGGCAGGGACGAGCTGGACTGGTTTTGGGATGCGGTGGGGGGAGGGGAGATTTTGAAACTTGTGAAATCCACATTGATACCATTGGGCTGCAGGGTTCCCAAGCGGAATATGAGTTGCTGTTCCTGCAACCTTCGGGTGGCATCGTTGTGGCACTGCAGGAGGCCCAGGATGGACATGTCATCTGAGGAATGGGAGGGGGAGTTGAAATGGTTCGCGACTGGGAGGTGCAGTTGTTTGTTGCGAACCGAGCGTAGGTGTTCTGCAAAGCGGTCCCCGAGTCTCCGCTTGGTTTCCCCGATGTAGAGGAAGCCACACCGGGTACAGCGGATGCAGTATACCACATTGGCAGATGTGCAGGTGAACATCTGCTTGATGTGGAAAGTCTTCTTGGGGCCTGGGATGGGGGTGAGGGAGGAGGTATGGGGGCAGGTGTAGCACTTCCTGCGGTTGCAGGGAAAAGTGCCGGGTGTGGTGGAGCTGGAGGGGAGTGTGGAGCGGACAAGGGAGTCACGGAGAGAGTTGTCCCTCCGGAAAGCAGATAAAGGTGGGGAGGGAAAGATGTCTTTGGTGGTGGGGTCGGATTGCAGATGGCGGAAGTGTCGGAGGATGATGCGTTGGATCCGGAGGTTGGTGGGGTGGTACGTGAGGACGAGGGGGATTCTTTTTTGGTTCTTATTGCGTGGACGGGGTGTGAGGGATGAGGTGCGGGAGATGTGGGAGACACGGTTGAGGGCGTTCTCGACCACCGAGGAGGGGAAGTTACGGTCCTTGAAAAACGAGGACAACTGAGATGTACGGGAGTGGAATGCCTCATCCTGGGAGCAGATGCGGCGGAGGCGAAGGAATTGGGAATAGGGGATAGCATTTTTGCAGGAAGGTGGGTGGGAGGAGGAGTATTCTAGGTAGCTGTGGGAGTCGGTGGGCTTGAAATGAATATCGGTTTCTAGGTGGTTGCCCGATATGGAGACAGAGAGGTCCAGGAAGGGGAGAGAGGTGTTAGAGATGGTCCAGGTAAACTTAAGGTTGGGGTGGAAGGTGTTAGTGAAGTGGATGAACTGTTCGAGCTCCTCGTGGGAGCACGAGGCGGCGCCGATACAGTCATCAATGTAACGGAGGAAGAGGTGGGGTTTAGGGCCGGTGTAGGTACGGAAGAGGGATTGTTCCACGTAACCTACAAAGAGGCAGGCGTAGCTTGGGCCCATGCGGGTACCCATGGCTACCCCCTTTGTCTGTAGGAAGTGGGAGGAATTGAAAGAGAAGTTGTTGAGTGTGAGGACGAGTTCGGCTAAGCGGATGAGGGTATCAGTGGAGGGGGACTGGTCGGGCCTGCGGGACAGGAAGAAGCGGAGGGCCTTAAGGCCATCTGCATGGGGAATGCAGGTGTAGAGGGACTGGACGTCCATGGTAAAGATGAGGTGTTGGGGACCGGGGAATTGGAAGTTCTGGAGGAGGTGGAGGGCGTGGGTGGTGTCACGGACATAGGTAGGGAGTTCCTGGACCAAGGGGGAGAAAATGGAGTCTAGATAGTTGGAGATCAGTTCAGTGGGGCAGGAGCAGGCGGAGACAATGGGTCGACCAGGGCATTCAGGTTTGTGGATTTTGGGAAGGAGATAGAAGCGGGCAGTGCGAGGTTGGGGAACGATGAGGTTGGAGGCCGTGGGTGGGAGGTCACCTGAGGTGATGAGGTTGTGGATGGTTTGCGAGATGATGGTTTGGTGCTCAGGGGTGGGGTCATGATCAAGGGGGCGGTAGGAGGAGGTGTCGGAGAGTTGGCGTCCGGCCTCGGCGATGTAGAGGTCAGTGCGCCA